TATAGATTTTCATGTTTTTTATACGTAATTTTTTATAGAACAGAGACAGGAAGGTCGTGGGATATAAAGGGATACTAATGGACTCTTTCAGGGCCAGAGAGTTCGCAAGTGCCTTGCCGGCCATATATGATATTATATTCTTAGTTTAATTTTTGTATTAAGAAGTTTTCTATTGTATTAGTATTAAGTTTCTCTAAGAATAAAAAATAAGGAAATAAAGAAGCTACTCCTAGTAATTACCATATTTGATGGAAGTTTTAATCAGTTATGAAAAAGTAGTTAAATTTTGATCTCTCAGCTTCTACATAAAAAATTACAATACAAAAAGAAATTACGATAGTGTAACGTTAAATCCTGTGCTTGCCTTAATAAATTACTTCGTGAATTATTGTCCTCATTATCGATAAAATCAACATGAATATTTATTTACGATTTCTTTTGTTGTGTTATCTATTGTTAAATTGATTAAACGAAAAACAGACATAAACGTTAAATATAATTTGTTTTAACGCAAATATTATTACAGCAGTAATGTGCGTAAAATCAATTTATATTGGTTCTTAATTTATCAGTTATAATATGACCTTTATCTTCTATAGTAGATAGACTAGGATATCATGTAATGGAATAACAGTTTCCTCAAAATGTAATATATTTTTTTATATAATGAGTATTTATTAAGGAGAACTTCGTTTCTCCTTAATGTGATTTTACTAAGCCTACCTTTTTAGTACATACCAACATGGAACGTTTTGCTAATAAGCTACCCCGGAGACTGTTCGATTTTCCGAAATGAAAACTTTTTAGGTTTTTCTGTGAATTTTTCTTCATATAAACATCTGAGTTCAAGTCATAGGTTATAAATTAACAAATAAAAAATAGGGGTCGATCGTAGAGGAGTCAAAGTTAAGGGTCGTATGTATTTGTGTATGTTGTAACATACAGAAATAAAAAAAAATTGTCTAAAGAATAAAAATATACATTAGGGGTTTGAAAGATAGATAGTAGCCGATTCTCAGATTTACTGAATATGCAAAAAAATATCATAAGAATCGGTCGAGCCGTTTCGGAGGAGTACGGGAACGAACATTGTGTCACGAGAATTTTATATATTAGAAGTCAATAGTCTTTACAATGCGCATAGGTGACGAGAACTTGTAGAAACTGATCGTGAACTGAACTGACGTGAACGTGAATAGTCCGCTCCAGATGCTTCCTTGCTGACAATGGGGCTCAAACATGAGCTACCAATTAATGACAGGGAGAAATAGTCTAGAACCACTTAATTCTACTACGGAGATTGAACATTAATTTACTATAATAATAAAACTGAACTCCATCTTAGTTAAGTGGATAACTTTTAACGAACTAAGGTCTAAATGACGTTTCATTAGACTAAAGGCTTCATAAGTTATATCTATTTGTTACACTGCTGTAAACAAGTAATCTTTCGTGACGTAGACTTCAGAATACCAACTATTATTTAATAATTATTTTAAATATAATTTCACGTAGTTCATTTTATTTTAGTTCTGTATAGTTTAACTGGATGAAAGATGGACAGTTGAATTAATAAAATGGACTGGACCTACGGGAAAGAGATGTATAGGACGACAAAAGAAAAGATGGACAGATGACGTAAAATCTAGCGGGGAAAAACTGGATGGTTGTTGCTCGAGACAAAGAGAAATGGAAAAATATGGAGGAGGCTTATACCCTAAAAGGGGCCATACAAATACAAAAACTAGGCCACTACAAAAGAAATCCAACTTAAAATTTTTAAAACTTATACTAACACAACTAATACTAATATTAAGAAATGTAGACTAACCGATTGTTGTATGGATTAATTAATAAAGCTTTAATAATAATAATAATAATAATAATAATAATAATAATAATAATAATAATAATAATAATAATAATAATAATAATAATAATAATAATAATAATAGTTTTACTAAAACTTTCAACAATCTTAGAAGTTCCTTTACTCATAATACTATATATCACACACTAATAGTATGACAGTTGTAAGATTTATACACGTCTCTTTTGAAGGTTAGGGCTAATTAAAACTCATATTAATTTAATACTAGATACTAGCGCCATCTATGTGTCACCCTACTAACTTTTCAGCTTTTATTATTAGCTTCATGTTATACGTCTTTGCACTTGTGCATTTCTTTATCTGCTTAATAATTATTTACGTGAAAGAAAAATACCGCAATGAACAAGTTAAAGATTGAAGACCAGCAGTCGAAGCAGAGTGCTTATTTCTGGATCACGTGATCTGCATAGGCTGCCGACGATCGTGACGTATTTTCGAGTAAAACGAAGAGACTAGTACTGGCCTAGTGCCTTCAACATGGGTTTGTAGGTTCGATACCCGACCGCACCAATGGACTTTCTGTCTGTGTGCTCATTTTACACACTTGGTGAGGAAACCGGCAGACCCAAAAAGTCCACGGTGTGTGTCAGGTACAGAAGGTTGATCACCTACTTGACAATTAATCACGTAGTAGACACAGAAATCTGAGCCCTATACCTAAAGGTTGTATTATTTAATATAGGTTTTACCAACCAGTGCCATAAAGTGTAGTTAAATAAAACTTTCTTTTATGCCCCATTCCTATCAGCATAAAATTTGCATTTCAGAAAATTTTCAAATGAATAATTCATTAATGAAAATATCTCTGATCATTCGAACTGCTCATTGGAGTTGAAAAACAAAGAAATCGTCGGCTACGTTTTTATTAAGTTCATGTATATAATTCTGTTGAATGAGCAGTATTGGGCTGGTAGCTTTAGCGTGCGACTCTCATCCCTGAGGTCGTAGGTTCGATCACCAGCTGTGCACCAATGGAATCTCATTCCATTCCATTTAACATTCGCTCAACGGTGAAGAAAACATCGTGAGGAAACCGGCTTACCCAAAAAGTCGATGGTAAGGCACAGGAGGCCGATCACCTACTTGCCTGTTAGTTTGACAAATGATCATGAAATAGATACAGAAATCTGAGGCCCAGATCTAAAAGGTTGTAGTGGCACTGATTTGTTTTATATAATTCTGTTCAAATATCAGGTCCGATTTTTTTATGTTTACGGAATGTCTCAATGTTCCTAAGTTTGTTGTGCCCGTTCTATTATTATGAGGAAATAATTTGAACATTGCCAACATTTTTTTGTTATGTAATGAATGTCTGCGGGTATGCTTGTCTTGGTTGTGTTTAGCAGGTCAGCGCTGGATTGTCAGATCCTCTAGCAGTTGGATTTGATTAGCTGATTTATAAGATGGTGTAATGGTTGCAGCTCCTTACAAACATTATGTAAAAAAAAATGGCGATCAAAAAGAGTGGCGGAGAGTTTATAGCCAGTTTTTCTCTTCCGTTCGACGCCCTTGAATTGAGAACTGGCACTAAATGTAAAGTTAGAAGCATTTCACATTCATTTTTTTGACGTTCATAAGTGTACATTGTGTTACCTATATGATTAAATGATTTTTTTTACTTTTACTTTTTTATCGTTTATTATATACAAAAGTTTGGTAGTGGCTTCAGCGTCATCCCTTGTGTCGTAGGTTTAATGACCGGGGCAAACAATGGACTTTCTAAGTGCCCACGCTTACTCATATGGCCTGTATTAGGCATATGTCTATTAGAAAAACTAATCATCACGAAACAGACCAGACAGACCTAAAAGATTGTAGAGGCACCAGATCTTTATTTTTTTTATTTTCAGCCTTTTATTTTAAAACCTCAACAAATCTGTTTTATAAAAAATTTTGCTTCTTTGTACTGCAAAACAATGCATTGTTATTTGTGATTCATTATCCATTCGATTAGTTTTTACATTTATGTTTAGATTATTATATATCTAGTTATAGTTAATGTTATTTTATGTTGTTTTTTTTTGATTATTTATGCACTTCTTATACTTTACCCTCTGTAGACATATTATCTTTACAGACATATCATTTTTTTTGTTCCATAGTAGGGTTGTTGGTTGGAAATCGCTTGTTAGGGATAAGGCTGCTCGTTTGCTTATAACTTATGTAACTTGCATTTTTAAATGTATGTTCTTGTTTAAGTTAACGAAGTGTAAATAAATAAATTGTTCCTTGACAGTAATTTGTCTGTAGATATTTAGTATACTTTTTGAAACTGTGTTTTGTGAAACTGCTTCTATGTAATTTATTGAAAAAAATTGGATAAATTATTAAATGATAATCGATTCGTTAGCAAAAGGTATTAAATTGACAAAGGCTATGCTAGAACTACAAGAAGTACACGTTGGGCAATTGCTATAACTCACCATATTCGCTAAGCAATGAAGTCACTTATAAACTCTGTGTCTATCACGTAATCTATCCTTTGTAACTTATAAGATAACGCTTATTATCTGAATGCATATTCGTCGTTCAAGTAACAACAATCTTACAAAGATTGCGCTCGTATCATAATGTCCAGAGGGGCTGTGGCGTGAAGGTTGATACCGTGTCCGGCCTAGGGCGTTTATGGTGGCATTGTGAGGTTTAGTGGGTATGCATAGTCTTGCATATCATTACTCTCCGGCACTAAGCCCCGCTGTGTATGCGAAAAAATCGTGTGCAAGCAAATCAAAATTAATTTATTCATATAGGTATTTCATCTACTGTTATGATATTAAACAAAATAGCAAGAAATTTTCCATCTATACAATCTATACCATAACAAATATACCAACAGAGGGGGGGAGAGGGGGGGAAGTGGGGGGGGGGGGGGGGGGGGGGGGGGGGTTGAAATTTGTTATTTTGGGGGGTGGGGGGGGGGGGGGGGGTTGTTGGGGGGGGGGGGGGGGGGGGGGGGGGGGGGGGGGGGGGGGGGGGGGGGGGGGGGGGGGGGGGGGGGGGGGGGGGGTTTTTCTGGGGGGGGGGGGGTTGGGGAACAGCGGGGGGGTTTGTTTTGGGTTCGGGCCCGGGGGGGGGGGGTGGGGGCGGGGGGGGGGGTGGGGGGTTGGGGGTGGGGGGGGGGTTGGGGGGGGGGGGGTTGGTGGTTTTAAAAAGGGTTTAAGGGGGTGGTTGTGGGTGGGGGGTTTTGGGGGGGGGGGTTGGGTGGGGGGGGGGTTTGGGGGGGGGGGGGGGGGGGGGGGGGGGGGGGGGGGGGGGGGGGGGGGGGGGGGGGGGGGGGGGGGGGGGGGGGGGGGGGGGGGGGGGGGGGGGGGGGGGGGGGGGGGGGGGGGGGTTGGTTTGTGGGGGGGGGGGGGGGGGGGGGGGGGGGGGGGGGGGGGGGGGGGGGGGGGTGGTGGGGTTTTGGGGGGGGGGGGGTAAAAAAAATTTTTTTTTTTAAAATTTTTGGCCCCACCCAAAAAAAAAAAACAAAACTATGTTTACTGTTACTAATTTTATACATCAATCAAAGTAATCGTAGAAATAAATACTAGACAAATACTCCTAAATCAAATTGTTCATAAAAACTTCACAATATGCAGGGTCATGAACTGTCTTATGTGCTACAGAAACTTTCAAATATACTCAATAATATTTGTTGTATACTATAACGATTGTTTGATAAAATTTATGTTAGATTTTATTAAGCACTTTGGTGACTTTTCAATTGCGATCTTTATCGTATTGTAGTAAAATTAATTCATATTTTACGATAGCCCCTGCTACCTGAAAAGAATAGATATGTTTAAATACAATTTACAAGTAAATACTAACGTATGGAATATTTTTAGATTTGTTCGCTTCATGGTTAACTCATGAAATATAAGATTTTACGCCGGGCTCATACTAATATTTATTAAGTAAGTAGGAAAGCTGTTTTGTGGAGTCTAGTTTGTGTTTTTCAGAAGACCAGAGAGTTTCTTAAAGAACATCAGCAACATATTGGTACCTAAGTATTAAAAATGGATATTTTACTACATGTCTAAGGCAATTGGATTATTTATACAACATAATAACTAATAAAGTTCAGTTTACATTTAAAATTTAAATAAATAAATATTTATTATTATTATCTTAGATTAAGTGTAACATAAATCCTATTATTATTCGAATGTTGTTTTTAAATTATGTCCAATGCCGTAGCAACTTCATTCTGTTAATTTTGTGTCACGGTGCGCGCGCATCATAAAATTTCACTCTCATCAATTTTTCATAAAGCGCCTAAAGAAGTATAACTTCAATAACTAAAATAAATTTAAATAGATTAGTCTATGCTGAAGTCTGATATGTTTGCAGCTGTATGTGATACTTATTTATTGAGCGAGGAAAGCACCAGCTCTGCGGCAGCGATACTATCTACCAGGCGCCATCTTAAATCTTGTGCAGTAGAACTCCACGGCTCCTGAGTATCTACTCTAAACGGTAGAAAATCAAAGCTGGCGGAAAATTTTATTTATTATTTTCCGCCTGCTCTGCGGCCGGCTTGAGGTCCGAGGGATGTGAGATGGCCCTAACCTGTCCTCTAAAGAATCAAAGACAACCCAAAAATAATAATAAATAAATAAAATGGTAGTGAATTCATATCTATAAAGTTAGAAAAATCTTTGCTTAAAAGTATTATTGTAAATAATATAATATTTGCCAAATAAATTAGTTAATATAACTGTCCGTAGCTTCTTTCCATAGACTAGTAATCATAGTTTCTAATAGGCAAGTAGGTGATCTGCCTTCTATGCCTGACACACGCCGTCGACTTATTGTTTGCCGGTCTTTTTTCACCTTACGAGCAACTGATAAAGACACATATAGGCCGAAAGTCCATTGGTGCTTGCTGAAGCAACTAGGCCAACACGGCTTCAAACTAAAACCTGTTCATAATTTAAATTATATAGATATTACCTCTAACAGTTTTTGTCTAGACAGATAAAATAAATCCATTCCACTTAATGATACGATCTGATGCTGTAATTGGTATTTTAGTCTTTTTATCTGAAAAAAATACATATTTGTAGTTCTACTACTACACTCTGATTACACCTAACTAGAATACCATCTAACCCAGGTGAAGGATGCTACGGTGTCAGACAGATTCTGCGTCACACATGTTACATAATCAGTGTTACACCGGGAAAAGAGCATAGAACGGGGACGTAAAGCAATGAAAACACTGTTCACGAGAATTCAAAGTAATAATCTGGAATTACATTAACTTGCGTTTACATTAACATAAAAAGTTGAGCATAAAGAGTTGAGCATGATGTACAGACCCAAGCGGTAACGCAAGTTCGGCTCTGTACATCGAGAGTAAACAACGTATATGGCGAGAGAACGTTCAGATTTTTGCTACCGCGGCTAATAAATGAACTACCTAGTCAGTTATTAGATAAATATTAGATAAAAACTACTTTTATATGCATTTGTCGCGGTTTGCTAATGTTACATATTATGATTATATTATAGATATTATTCTTAAAAATAATAAATTAAAATATAAGTATAAAATTTTTTAATGAAACTTTTTATATTTTACTATTAATATGCGGGAAAAAAATACTCATAAAAGTTAATTACTTCAATATTGTAGGCTGCGCTGCCGCATCTGTACAGTTCTGGTAGCGCCCTTTGAGAATGCAATTGAACATCGCCGGCTGCCAATAGAACTCCACTTGCACGAAACAATAACCAGGAAAGCGAGTAAAAGTAATAGATACGATTTATAACTGTGCCTTTTTCTTGGCTGACACTAAAAAAATAGAACCTACTTTATAGGTTTTTCTTTATGGCCATATTAAAGAGGCTTCAGTACGCGGTAGCTACAACCGCTACGCAACAACCAAATGCGCGATTGTCATTTGTTTCATTCTTTTGTTTAGTATATGAGCGTTAGAAACGAGTATTTTAGAAGTTTTGTAGCAATTGTTTAATAAAAACTCTCAAAATTGCCACAATTTCTAGAATACATGTATAACTTCCATAATACGATAGGATTTTAATATTGTCTACGGGTTTCCTTGAGTGAGCTGTGAGGGTGTCCTGGATTTATTTGTAAGTTTAATAAATAGCATATTCGTAACCAAATACCAAGCGTATCAAAGTTTTCGTTTAGAGGAGAAATTATACTTAGGAAAGAAAAACATATTAAATTAATAATATAATATAAAACTAAATCCATTTGGATTGAAGATAGTTAGTTTTATTGTTATAATTCAGTTATGAGTCTAATATTTTGACACTTTGTAAATAACAAACCTTATGCCTAGAAAAAGCTGAAGACAGATAAAATACAAATTATTAAGGTTACTGAGTAATATCAATCCTCCAAGACACTGATCTACCCTCTTCACGAGCTGTGATTGATGGACGTAGGCTATGCGCAGACGCCGCCAAAGATATACTCTTTTAACCAAATTTTGTTGCAACTGTAAAAAAATATATGTATTACTTTGTTAGTTCTTTCTTAATCTCATTGTATAGACGACTGACTTGTTTACTAATGACCTTAGACATTGTAGATTGTCTTCGGTTTAATCAAATACACATTTAAATATAGCTTCTATAATAATACCGCTAATTTAATTACATAATATATCTCGTACAGTTTATATGTCAAAAAGTTTTGATTTGACGGATATTCGTATTAAAGGATAATTTTATAATGATATAAGTAATATTTTTGATTTAATTTAACAATGTTTAAAGAACTTTCCATTAACAAAACGACAATTTTATTTTCACGAGAACCTAATTATAAAGGCAATTGCACATCGGAGCAGGTTTAATTTTCTTATTTAGCCTTCAGGGCTCATATTTATTTTACTATATTTTTTTAAATACCGTAATGTTACGAATTTTTGAATATTAAACAATTTCACACCCTTCACAACAAGTTTACAGATTTCGTTAAATAATTTGTGCGCGGCTACGGCAAGGGTGTATAGTATGTTTAATTTGTTTAAATGATAAGCTACTATAAGGAGAGTAATTAAAGATATTTTCAATTAAAATAGAATTGCTATAAACAAAGTTGTTTTAACGTCATAATTTTGGTTTCTTTGTAGATTTTACAAGTTTGTTTCTAAATTCAAAAATACGTCTTTGATTAATTATTTTTCTAGGTAATTTCTCGTATATTTATTTATTAAGGAAACTAAACAGATACATCTCTATACAGTAAATAAAGTAAAGTAAAACATAAAATAAACACATTGGACATATCCACAAAAAGTTTCACTGATAAAAAAATACAATTTAAAGTAAAACAAGACAAAACATGTCAGCACAAAATTTATAAATTAGGAGAACGACAAACAAACTATCAGCTGTATAAAAAAAAACAAGGAAGATTAAGACATCACAATTGCCCATTTCTGGCAATTGTGTTCAATTCTTGTGTCGCATCTGGTGTGTTTCCGGACTTAATGAAGTTAAGCAAGGTGATTCCACTCTTCAAATCTGGTAGTACAACCGATCCTACGAATTTTCGCCCTATCTCAATTTTGCCTACACTGAGCAAAATTTTTGAGAAATAATTTTAAAGCAAATGCTAAAGCATTTTAACAGACAGAATCTTTTTCATTCCAAACAATTTGGATTTACTAAGGGTCGGTCTACTGCTGATGCAGGTGTGGAACTACTCAAAAATGTATTCGAGGCTTGGGAGAATTCACAGGATGCTTTAGGCATATTCTGTGACTTGTCCAAAGCTTTTGACTGTGTTTGCCATGACACACTTATCAAGAAACTACACCACTATGGCATTAGAAATAAGGCTCTTAGACTTCTCAGTTCATATTTAGACAATAGAATACAAAGTGTAGATATTAATGGCAAAAAATCAAAAGGATCTGTGGTAACTATGGGTGTTCCGCAGGGTTCAATTCTAGGTCCCTTCTTATTCCTTATCTATATCAATGATTTACCTTTTTGTGTAAGGGATGATTACAAAATCCTATTATTTGCGGATGACACTTCGCTTGTTTTTAAAGTTAAGCGTCAACTTGAAAATTTTGACCAAGTTAATTTGGCACTATCTAAGGTTGTCCATTGGTTTAATGTTAATAATCTGCTTTTGAACTCAAGTAAAACTAAATTAATAAAATTTTCTACGCCTAATGTGAGGCAGTTAAGCACCAATGTACAACTGAATGGAGTAGAGTTGGACCCTGTTGAGTCAACTGTTTTTCTTGGCATTACTGTTGACGCCAAACTACAGTGGGGCCCACACATTAACAAATTGTCTGGAAGGCTCAGTTCAGCTGCTTATGCTGTAAGGAAAATTAGACAAATTACTGATGTGGATACAGCCAGAATTGTTTATTTCAGTTATTTTCATAGCTTGATGACGTACGGCATTCTCCTTTGGGGAAACTGTGCGGATATTAATACAATCTTCTTATTACAAAAAAGAGCTGTCCGCGCTATATATAACCTGGGTCCTAGAGTTTCTCTCCGAGAGAAATTCAAAGAGATAAACATTCTGACTGTAACTTCACAATATATTTTTGAAAATTTACTTTATGTTCACAAAAACGAACCTGATTTTGTCAAATTGTCTGATCTTCACTCCCGAAATACTAGGAACAAAAATAATTTAACAGTTCATGCTACTCGCCTTCATAGAATAATCAACTCGTTCATGGGTCAATGTATACGCTTTTACAATAAACTTCCTATGGATGTTCGTAAACTTCCCCTTAAGAAATTTAAATTTTTTATTAAATCAAAATTATTAACTAAAGGATATTACAGGATATCCGATTATTTAAATGATAGAAACGCCTGGGATTGAGCTGCTCGCTTATACAGCTATCGCTTGTGTTTTTTTAAGCTGTCTTTCACTTTTTTTTTTTTTTTTTTTATGTTGTACATATTTACAATATGACATGTCTTGTGCTTTTGCATATGCATTTTATTTTATTCTATTGACATGTTTGTGCTTAGTGCATATTCATTTTTTTACATTTTTTTTCTCTACATTACTGACATGTTTTGTGCTTAGTGCATATTCATTTTTTCTTTTTCTACAATACTGACATGTTTTGTGCTTTTGCATACAATATTTTACACTTTGACATGCCAAGTGAATAATGTTTATATTACGATTATATTTTTCAATTTCATTATTTTTTCCTTGCTTTAAGGTACACCTTAAAAATACATTTTGTATCCATTGTAAGTGTAAACATTATGCGGGTATATCATAAACTCTTTTGCTTGATTTATAATTTGATACATTTTAGTATATAGTTATTTTGGGCTGGCGATCTGAGTGAGTTGTTGCCCCACATATTTTTATGGTGCCACTGGCGGTATTGCTGTGTACCGGGTTGTGCAGCTCCCTCAAAAATGGTTGAGCTGCATGAGCTATTCGGGGCATGCTTGCCGTCTGCTGGCACAGGCTTGCTCAGATCGATCTGGTTCTTTCTTCCAAAGACCAGTCCAGTAAATACTCTGCATTTGTTTACACCAATTTATTAATTTATTATTGTATTATCTGGACTATAAAAGAGACTAAGACCCCCGAGTTTGTTTCGACATTTCTTCTCAGGGCAGTCAGTTAGGAAATGTCGACTTCATCTAGTTTAGGATGACATTGTAAAAGTGATTTATATAGTCCTACTTGCAAGAATAAACTATTTCATTTCATTTCATTAAGTGTTTTAACTTATTCTTAAACGAAGCAGTATATATATTATTTCGGCTATACAATGCGCAAAGGCGATAAGAACTTGGAGTAGCTAATCGTGTTTGGTAACACAAAAGGTAAAAGATCACGTGGCCGTTCACCAACCAAATGGACCGATCAAATGAAAGACTCATCGTCCTCAAAACTGTACACTGTCATAAGAGAGGTGCTGGACAGAAACTGGTGGAAACAGATAGTTCGCTCCAGATGCTTCGTTGCTGACCACGACGCTGAGACATGAGCTGCCGATTAAAGAGAGAGACTAGGTAATTTATAATCCGATTCCGCAAGTTTTGAATAGCGCTTTATACTAAAACTTGAATAGACGGATAAGTATATTACGATAATATTTTTATAAAAGCTTATACTTACGTTGTGTGCTTTCATATCATTCTCATACATAACAAGTCGTCGCAGGAAAACATTCAGTCTATTATACCTCGACGCGAGGCCCATGCTAATTAATATTATTATCAGGTCTTGGAAGTTCCATAGCACTGTTGCTAGCTTGCTTAAAATAAATATCGGTATTGCCAGCCACAGGGTATATTCATCTGTCAAAGTTGTAATAGTGAGTGCCTCATAGATTACAAAACTCTTAGTTTTTTTCAACTAACAAACTAGTAATATTTGGTTAATTGTATTCGTTAAGATACATATAATAACAAAGCACATTTCCTTTAAAACATATATAAAAATATGAAGTGAGAAATGTGTCAAACATCAAAATAAGAAATAATAGAGAAAAGGATGTTTTAAATTAAGTTTGTTATACATTACAAGTAGCTTGTCTAAAATACATTAAAATATGTTGACAAAACTTGCCTTTAAAAATTACTATTAAATTTCCTAATCTTATTTCTAAGTTTTCTTTAATAATAATACTCATTAAGCGAAATTTATTTTATCATTTAGAATTCTGATTTAATTTTTGAATCGTTGACTAGACTAGACGAATCTACGGTTCCATTGCTCAGTAATTAAATTGTTTCGAATGAGTTTCAAAGGACCTAGGATCATTCCGAATCGTAAACTGACCGCTCATAAGTACCGGTGATTGAAACGTGTGGTTTTAATTGTATCCAAGATACGATTTAAGACTAAGGGTCTGTTTCACAATGTACGGATAAGTTCTACATAAGTTCCAAATTAGCTATTTATTACTCATTGGAAAATTGAAAAATTATAAAGAAACGTTTTATAATAATAATTATTAATAATTAATTTAAAAAAAACCATTTATTCATATAGGTAACACATTAGTACACTTATGAACGTCAAAAAAGAAATATTAAATGCTTCTAATTTTACATTTACTGCCAGTTCTGAAATCAAGAGCGTAGAACGGAAGAGAAGAACTGGCAATAAACTCTCCACCTAATTATAAATAATTAACCATTATTAAGCAAAAATAACATTTCTAAATTGTTAACCAGCATTATCAGCTAACCTTAAAATCTAGCGTTGATTTTTGTTACATTGGTTAATGAGATTTCGTCTATTACTTTTAAGAATCATAATTTAACTTGATTTTATTTGTTTTGTTATTATTTAATTGTTTCATAATTTATAATCATTACATAACGAATAATAGTGCAAAAGTTGTTTAAAAGAAGCAATTGAGTTCACGATGCATTTTTATTGGCATAATATTATTACCTTCAGAGTTAAGACTAGTACTAAGTGTCTCCAGACTCGAATCTTTGGCATTTTTAACAAACGCGAATCATACTTAAAGGTTTATATGTTGGCAGATATTTTTGCATCTATTTAAGAGCTATTCAGCCCTATTCCGAAGTAGGTATTTTTACACTTGAATTAAAATTCAAAGCCTTAAAATATACGCTTTGTAAACATTTAATCTAGGTAAGTGAATTACACAATAAAGCAAACACTTTTTAAGCGGATTAAAGTTATGTATTATTATAAATTTACAATTATTTTACATAATTTTTAATTTAACCGACGTTTCGCGTGCTTTACAGCGTGCGTGGTCAGAAAAATAGAAAATAGAGGACACCGTGAGCCATTTCTGCCAAAACCCTCCATCTTTTAGTCGATACCAACTCCGGGGAAATAAATACAGATAATGCAACTTTTTCTACAGCTGTGATACTTTTTTTGACATTCAACACCTTTTGCCTTCAGTCACCGTGACCACGCACGCTGTAAAGCGCGCGAAACCTCGGATAAATTTAAAATTATGTTAAATAATTGTAAATTTATAATAATATATAACTTTAATCCGGTTAAAAAGTGTTTTCTTTATACACAATAAAGCTTACGTTTTGTTATCAGAAAGCCATGTGAACTGAGAATATACCGCTCGAAGTACTCTTGAGGTGGACAGTCGAGGCCTGTCGACGACATCATACTTAGCATGTGCTCCACTGCAATCAAGCTTTCAGAATAAGGACCTAAGTCTGAGGCAATTTGTTTATTCCCTAATGGACATCGCACTGAACTAAGCAAAAATAGCATTGAAAAATACTAAGAACAATTATCAGCAAACCAGTCTTTTACCCTAAAATGTACTCGCTAATCTAAGCTAAGTATATTTATTTATTATTTAGTTATTAACTTAGCTTACGACATCACACACAATGCTTTCTCTAAAACCGATCAGCTCACTACCGAATATATCCAGCTCCGGATAATCTGTGTTCAATCCGTTAAAATCGCGAAGAATTCGAACGAGAGGTGCCTGAACTCCTAGGTTGGTTTTGGCAGAAGGAATTTGGAAAATATTGTTAATTTTAAACCTAGGGAATGAGTAAGGGAAGACAAGTATACTTACGTATATATTGCTATACTCAATTAGTAAACCTAATCAATAACTTAATTTTTTTGTAAATATTGCAAAGATTTAATGTTATTTGCCATTACTATGGTCTTATTAAATATTTAATAAGAAAGAAACAATTTAAAAAGGTTCTATTAAACTTACCAAATGCACAAAACACTGTATATCCAGCGACGAATAAAAGGCGTCTTCTGATTTTGGTGTTTGGAGGAAAATGCAAGCTACATTTGGTTTCCAGTTCCAACCACAACTTAGATAGAGAGCGCCACTTTCTTGCCAGTTTCCACGTTATGAGCATAGATAATAGACCATTGCCATAAAATATAGAGCCTGACAAGCGAGCTATTACACTGCCTAGTAATAAAATAATAATACACTTCATCTTTCGAAATCATTTACTATGTGGACAAGGGAAAGAGACAATTGTATAAAAACATCATTGTAGGCGCATGTAGTCTTTAAATCTTCATTATTCATATGTATAGGGTACACCTAACACCAATGCCGCCTTAACCTATACGTCTACTACCAGAGCGATGCCGGTAGAGATTCCGATTTTAATAATACGGATATTGAGAAAACTACTTCAGGGTTGGGTTCGATAACGATGCACCCGAATCTGATGATACTGATTATGCAGGAGTCTCGGGGGACCTTCATTGCAACACCTCCAAGTGATTTTAGCTGCCGGAAATGCGTCATAGTATTTTAAATTTTTTTTTATAGTTTTGTGAAATGTATTAAAATTTGTAAACAATCCACCATTATCTTTTTTTTTTACCGTTACCTAATATTCTTGAATAAAAGATATAGAACGGACAATATAATACCAAATCGATTCACGAGATCGTGAAATTCCGTTTCGGTGAGAGGTATTTTGAACGGGTAGGAGGCTCACCTGACTTTAAGTAATACTGTCGCCCATGGACACACACTGCCAGGCTGGCTATTAGGCGCGCTGCCAGCCTCATAAGAATTGGTCCTCTTTTCTTGAAGGATGTGAATACTTAGTCTAGCCATATATACTGTTACAATTAAAAATAAATAAAATGTTACATTTGAATTTGGAATCTGTCATTCTTATATGATTGTTCATTGTGTTTTTTTCATTTTGGCGCCAATACATTGTACCCTATTTTGCAATATTAAATTGGAGTGGGGTGATGAAGAGAACCGAACCGAAATCGCTGTGATTGCATTACACAAAGTAGGTATCGGTATATAGGAGCCAAATACAATTTTTAAAACTCGCCATACGCTTGGTATGAGTAAAATGTTTATGTACCGGGCTTTTAATAGGTACAATGAGACCTCCTCTGTTTATGACAGAAAAATATCTGGCCGTTTACGAAGTGTTTGTACGAATCGAATCGTCGACGACCAATCCCTTTCCAAGCGGCTTGATCCTTTGGCGTCGCGTAGAGATGTGGGTCACTCTGCGTCTTCTACCGCATTTACCATGGAGAGTGTTCAGAGGAGTTGTTCGGATTAATACCTGCAGCTGAGTTTCATCATCGGACGTCGAGGCAGAACACCAAATTCCACCCGTATCACCTCGACGTCCGCCGTTCCACAACTGAGCGTTTTTCAAGGCAGTTTTTGCCGCGCATCACCACTTTGTGGAACCAGCAGCCCACTGAAGTATTTCCGAACCAATTAGACTTAGGGTCCTTCAAGAAAAGAGCGTACCAATTCTTAAAAGGCGGGCACTCGCGAGCCCTCTGGCATTGAGAGTGTCCATGGGCGGCGGTATCACTTAACATCAGGTGAGCCTCCTGCACGTTTGCCCCCTGTTCTATAAAAAAAAGATGGTCAAAGCAGTAAGGGAAAGAATTTAAAGAAATCCTGTCCGAAAGTAAAAGATTAAAGATAAAGATTTTATCTCGGGAGATGAAGGTAGCACCTAGAACCATGTCGCGAATTTTAAAAGATGACTTAAGACTTGCAGCCTATAAGAGACGTGCTGGTCATTTCTCGGTAACGCACTTGCGAGCCTTCTGGCAATGTGAGTGCAATTATCTTCAAGAGAATAGCGTAAAATTTTCGCTGTAAAACGTGTTTTACAATTTAAATGTTTGGTACAGCTTCATTCCTATTACGCTTAATTATAATGAAACAAGGAAAACGTGTTTCCATGTTTAACCGTTTTATTATTCCACGTGCGACGTACAGTATTTTCCTACAAGAAATATTAATTAAAAACCTTTTAATACAGGTTTCATTAAGATGAGGTCAGCGCAAAATTGTTCGTGAAACGTGAAATTGTTTAAATTAAATTAAGATATTGTTTTCCAGACGCTGAAAAGAATCGCTCAGTGAAAAGTGGGTTGAATAAATTGAAACTATTATTCTATGAAAGTGCAGTAACAAAGGTTTTTGGCAAACTAACGTCTTTTGTAAGCAAAGGTGTTAGGTTAGGTTTTATTAGATGCTTAAAGAGAGTCGCTGACTTATCATATATTTTACACGTAAAGATTAGAAGACGAGACTGCCAATATTAATGAAACCTTTGATTACTTAGTTTTTTTATCTACTTCATTTTCTTTAAGCATTTTTTATTTAGCTTTATAATCCGACGTCGAAGCAGAATACGAAATTCCACCCGTATCACCTCGACGTCCATCGTTCCACAACTCAGCCATTTTGAAGGCAGTTTTTGCCGCGCAACACCACTATGTGGTACCAGCTGCCCACTGAAGTATTTCCGAACCAATTTGACTAATGTCCTTTAAGAAAAGAGCGTACTAATTCTTTAAATACCGGCAACGCACTTGCGAGCCCTCTGGCAATGTGAGTGTCTATGGACATCAAGTGGGCCTGATCCGTTTACCCCATGATATACATATATAAAAAATTGAGAGAAATGACCCAGTAATTGCCAAGATTTATAAAGCCACGTTTTCTAAACCTGTCTTTAGTTCAAACCGAAACTGTACTTCTCATGTAGTAGTAAAATTATAGTATAAAATTTATAACTTCAAGTACCTATAATCATAAGTAATATAAAATAAATGTTTTATTATCTATAATTGTTGTAATTTTTTGTTATTGTTAATTATCACTAGTATCAGTGTCTTAAATTACATAATATCGATTAAATATACAAACCATTTGGATTTTGATCCCAGCCGTTAAGAGTCCGAACCAGTTTCCAAATAGAAGAGATCTCAAGAATTATTAACATTAACAATATTGTTACAGACATTATTAATGCCACTTTACCACCATAAGTCGGTATCCCGAAGGTCTTAGCGAATGCGAACATACACGTCACCGTTGGCAAAAAATCCTGAAAATCACGAATCTGATCTATATAACTTTCAATTCAGGTCAAAATAAACCTTATTGGTTCTTTTATTTTAATCAAAATATAGTTTTGATTTAATTATTTCTACATTTGACAGGTACGTATTTTGTTTTGATAATTAATAGGTTTACACGTTAGGCCGTTTCTACACTGCTCCGGTCCGGCAAACGTTAATAATTACCGATCCGATTTAGAAACTCCCAACAGTACTTACGTACTTCTCCACTACTCCGGCAACCGGTTTTTAACGATCCGATAACTTGCTAGATCGGAACGCGGTGTTTTATCGGTCCAAGTATCCAAGAGGTTATATATTATTATTTACAGGTTTATTTATAGTTTCTTTAATTTGAAAGAATCTGGATAACCTGGACCAAACCAAATTATGTTGCTATTTATTTATATTTTTATACCATAGTATTAGTGAACTATTTATTAAGTAAATTATAATATTTTAAGATAGACAATATAAAAAAAGTAATAAACTTGCCAGGGCAATAAAATATTCAGAACTTAGAACGTTTTATTAATAAAACAAAGTATATGGGTTTTTTTTTTGGACCACAAAATTAGGACAAACACATGATATAAATTGACATACATACATAAATATCAAAAGCGGTGCCGTCCCTATAACATGTGGACACGACCAGCGAAATCAAGTAGATACAAAAAACAGTGTTAAATACAAACAAGCATAAAAATTAAAAATGCAAACTATAAAAGAATTAAACTATTTGAACCAAGAAAATAAAATATCGGTAATGTGTCCTAATTCTACTCTTAGCTGAGGCCAGAGAACCGTGAAAAATGTAAAAACTCTGTATATCATTATGGTAGCGACATAACCTATTAATTGGTGAGTTTCTGCCAACGTTTGTTCGACAATGTGGGATGTGAAAACATCTTCGATTGTACAAACGACTCCTTGTAAAGACGACCCGAGGAACTTGTATGGATAAACGTTCTAAAATTTCTGAGCAATCCACAATTCCGTTAATTACTTTAAAAAGGTATAGCAAGTCGATGTTTGCTCTACGAACACTCAGAGATTCCAAGTTATAGAAATTTAACCTATCCTTATATTTACTCAACATTGCACATTTATTATTTCTAAAGGATAGATGGTATAAAAACTTTCTCTGCACCCTATCCAGCCTCGCTGAATCGGTTGAATACATTGGAGACCAGACACAACTGTTGAACTCCAATATGCTTCTAACGAGGCTGGTAAAAATAGTAACTGCGACACTGGGATCGGTAAGACTCCCTGTTATTCTGGAGATAAAACCAGAGAGCTTTGAGGATCTTTTTATAATACTATCCACATGCTCCCTAAAACTTAGTGAACTATCCATAATGACACCCAAATCTCTTATGCTTTTAACCTCTTGAAGTTTCTGGCCTCTTATGCAGTATGTTAATGGTGAAGATTTCTTTGTTTTCGAAAATTTTATGCAGCAGCACTCTCCTTCATTTAAAATCATTCTATTCAGCCCGCACCAAATGTTAACTTTGTTTAGTTGCTCCTGCAGAAAATCAATATCGATATCCTGTTGAACATGTTGGTATAATTTTAAGTCATCAGCGTACATTTTAAAATTGCACTTCAAATTATATGCTAAGTCATTCACAAAAATGATAAACAATAAAGGCCCTAAGTGCGATCCTTGTGGTACACCCATAGGTATAGGCTGACCGTTAGACACATGCCATCTGATCTTTACCAGTTGTGTCCTATTTTTTAAGTACGAGTCACACCACCTAAACAATGACCCATGGATGCCCATGGAAAAGATCTTCTGCAGTAGTAAATCGTGGCAAATGAGGTCAAAAGCCTTACTGAGGTCGGTGTATATTGCATGGATTTCCTGTCCGTAGTCGATTCCCGTCGCTATGTCCTCAGTGAAACCAAGCAAATTCGTAGTGGTCGATTTCTTTGGCATGAAACCATGTTGCTCTGGGTGTATATTCTGTTTTACATGCCAAAAAATTATCTGCTGAAAAATGATAAACAATAAAGGCCCTAAGTGCGATCCTTGTGGTACACCCATAAGTATAGGCTGACCGTTAGACACATGCCATCTGATCTTTACCAGTTGTGTCCTATTTTTTAAGTACGAGTCACACCACCTAAACAATGACCCATGGATGCCCATGGAAAAGATCTTCTGCAGTAGTAAATCGTGGCAAATGAGGTCAAAAGCCTTACTGAGGTCGGTGTATATTGCATGGATTTCCTGTCCGTAGTCGATTCCCGTCGCTATGTCCTCAGTGAAACCAAGCAAATTCGTAGTGGTCGATTTCTTTGGCATGAAACCATGTTGCTCTGGGTGTATATTCTGTTTTACATGCCAAAAAATTATCTGCTGAATAAGAGACTCAAACACTTTTCCAGGTGCTGGTAATATTGAAACTGTTCTATAGTTCTGAACAACGTTTCTATCTCCACCTTTGTGAATAGGTGTTACCCGAGCAGCTTTCCATACGGTAGGAAACACACCTTGACGCAAAGACTCGTTATAAATCATGCATAGGGGAATCGGCACATTTCTTTAGCACAACATTAGGTATATTATCTAACCCTATACCTTTGTTTGCGTCTAACTTCCTAATGGCGGCGCGAACTTCAGATACTTCCAGGATCACATTATGCAACGAGGGATAACACCCAGGGACTAGACCTTCAGTTATTGGAGAAGAAAGATCTATATCTGAAGATGTTGTTGTTAATGAGGGTTGTAGCTGATATACTGCTGCGGCAGCGTTCTCTTTAAAAGTTCTATAGCACTCCCTAACCATTTCATCATATCTTCGTCGTAATATATCGAATGTTTGTTTGTCTCTTGGATTTTGATATAACCTGTATCTTTTGTGATATTTAAGTTTCTCTTTCGCGCATTTAATTAGGGGTCTACTGAACCAGGGAGGGTATGATTCACATTTTGGCATGGTATATGGCGTATTTTCTTTCAGTATTGGTAAAACTTTTGCATAAAATTTTTTCACCATTTGATTTATGTCTGCATTAGATCCCAAAATCTCAGTCCATTGTAGATGAGAGAGAGACTCGTCAATTTTAGTAAAGTCAGATTTATTAAAATTTAAAAAGGGAATTCTTTTATGCTTAAGATATTTTATTTGTCCCTGCGCTACAAGCTCGATTTCAAGTGCAGGGTGGTGACTGTCCAAATATATAAGTGGATTTAGACATTCACTCACCTTTACCGTTTTGGGGGAGTTAGTTAGCACTAGATCCAGAGTTCGTTCAGAAGTATTCCTAACCAATTACACTGTTTAAGATTGCAAAAGGTTATATCATCTAAGAATGTATTTTCTACTCTACCATGGCTTAGTTTAACCGGTATGCATGAAAAATGGCTATCGTCGACCTGCCACATAATATTTGTCATATTAAAGTCGCCTAATATTATAGTTGCTTCTTGATTTATTCTGTTACAAAATACATCGGTCATGTTGTTCAGAAATAATTCTAAATAATCAATACTTACTGGAGAAGGTATGTATACTACACATATGTTGAGGTTGAAACGCGTTGCTCCCCTGGTAAGACCTATACTCACCCATAAATCCTCACACATGGACTTCCATAATGGTCGCTCGATAACTTCTAAACGTTTGTGCACCGCGATACATACACCCCCCCATCTTTTTTGGTCCTGGATGATATTATTCTGTTACGATCACTTCTGAATACCGTATACCTTAGGTCTAAAAATACATGATCAAAAACCGAGTCATTTAGCCAGGTTTCCGTTAGAACTATGACGTCATAATCATAACGCAAAGAGCTCAAATAAAATGTATTCGTTTTGGTTCTCAAGCCTCTTACATTCTGATAGTATATGTTTAAAATTTTGACGCAAATAACACTTAGACAGTACCAAAACACAAACTTAGGAGATGAAAATTAAAGAGGAAAATGATTTACTTAAGTATTTACAAGTTTTTCAATTTTTCCACACTATCAATTAGAAGAGACCTTGAGGTAACGTTCTTCCGAGCAAATATTTTTCCGTTACGAATCCACAGAAACTCGTATCCCTTTTCCCTTGCGGCTACTCGAGCAGTGGCATGCAGTTTCTTATTTGCGGGTGACAGCTGTTCTATAACGTATACGGAATGCGTGCTAACAGCAATACCCAGATGTCCAGAATGCAGCTTTTCTTGGGGATTAGCCTGATTAAAACGTCTTACGGATGCCAGTATCTCGTCTCGTACTCGAGGGCTGATGAGTTTAACAACAATGGAACGGGGCCTGCTGGATTGTTGGTCCAGCTTTTGCACTCTGTGGAAATCTACTATCTCTGTGTCTTTAATCTCTCTTGATGTTACTTTTCCAAGCTGTTTGATGGTCGTCAGAAGATTTTCAGATTTGAATTCAGGAACACATTGAATTTCTATATTACAGGACCTTGAACGCTGATCCAGGGCATTAAGATGACTCCACAAAGCTCTGTTCTCTGCCTGAAGCGTTTCTATGACTTTTGTGTTCTCGCTTACTTTCTTATTTATACCTTCAAATTGTGATGAAAAGTAGTTAAGTTTTTCTTTCAGCTGCTCAAAATCCTCGTGAATTGACTTATTTTCCAATATTATCTGCTGCCTAACTTCTGCTAGAATAGTTGCAGCTGTCTCTTGGAGTTTGGCCTCTATGTACTGTTTAAGCTCATCCATGTAAGAATCACCTACACCGCTCAACGATGAGGGTGAACAAACTACAGCACTCGGATTCTCTTGCCTTACTGGGGTGCTATCACCTTTCTTTTCTATACTTTTACAATTGGGACACTTCCAATTAGCTTTTGCCTGCTTAGATTATTTGTGAAAGTTCTCCGTTATAGTACCCAAGCATAGGTAGTGATAGTGCCCAACACACCGAGAACAAACTTTGTCTTCAATTGGCTTCACAATTTTGTTGCAAGCTTTGCACTTCATCCCGTTATCAAGCTTGTTGAATAAGGAAAACGTAACCGAGCAAGCTTATGCACTATGGTTTCGATGGCAACAATACGTATATCTTGTCGTCTCTTATCAGTAGTCTGTGCTTGTCAGTTATGTGACGGTATCACAAAGTTGTAATTTAAAAAAAAAAAAAAACAAGATAACAAATGAGGGTATCTTGATTTGTGATGCAAAAAATTTTTAATGTGATAGTTGTAAAAATGTTGTGTGTTTCGTTGAGATAATAATGGATGACGTGAGCCTGATATAGTTCTTGACTTTAACAACACTTTTCACAACAAATAACCACAATTAATATTTATAAAAGCACTTAATGATTGTAACGTATACACTGTTTTAAGCTTGACACTTGACATGAGTGTTTTACGGCCAAAACCAATATGCAATCTCAATCCAATTTTAGCTGTCATAGACTGACAATTCAATCCATTTCTAAAGAAAAGCATGCCAATATTAAATCCATGGACTGAGATACCAATCTAATAATTCAACCAATCGTTCAGAGGGCGGATAAGAGATTGAAGATTGCCCTCTGTATGAAAATGAATGTTTACTCATGCCAACAACCTATCTGTCCATTTTGACAGTTGCTTCGATTGGCCAAATCAATCTCGGATTGCTATCGGTGAAACTCGTATGATTTGGGTTTGGGATTGCGACCTAACTTAATATTCATTGGGAAAATTTATTCATCTTCGTCATCTTCCAGTTCTAGTGATAGTGATTTGGAAGTTTAAATGCAATTATCCGATTGGGATAGTAATTCTGAAGCTGGAAGAAGACAACGTACTTCTGTGCGAAGACATAAAAAGACAAGAATTAATGATGATGAACCAGCTAATGATATTGATCAAAGCGCAATTGACAACGTGGGAAATGCAAGTGGGCGAAGTAATCTTATAAGTGATTATTTTGCTTTATTACTATAATATTTTATAAATTACAACATTTTTGAGATAAATTAAATAAAAATTCAATACTTTTATTCAAATAAAAATACAAATTTTTAATACAATACATCCTTGCTCCAGGCACAAAATCTATTATTTTTCTAATTTATTGAACAATATATTTTTTTCTATGGCCCATAATTCTCTTTTATACTCTCTTGTCACTCACACTCACGTCAACTTCTTCCCGGCTGAAATTGACGCTTCTTTCACGTTTTTGCGTAGACATTTTTTTAAGTTAAAGAACCAACCTCGAATCACAAAAACAACATACACAAACTACTCCGAGAAAATTTATATTTGAAAGGTCAAGCCGAAGGCGCCGAACTAAAATATATAATAAAATACTCAATAACCTAACAAACAAAAATACCATATGAAAATGACAGCCCGTTTCGTTACAAGTAATATTAAATGACCAACAAAAAGGTTAAGGTTCTATGTTTTTCTATAGAATTTTGTAACTTTATTTGTTCATAACAAAAAAACAAACAAAAACGTTGCATAGCTATTTGCTACTTTATCCATACATTGTGAAACAGACCCTAAGTCTTACTTATTTTATTTCGTTCCAAAAACAGCACACTTTTGGTATGCTTGAACACAATATATTGCATTGAACGAAACGCGGTCGAGAGGATAGGATCACGCAAAAGATTGCTGTCAATCTTTTGTCAAATAAACAATCGGATAGCAGAAATGTTTATTGGCATGCAGATTCGAGATCGGTCTTTAGATATGAATCAGTCCAAGATTGGTTATAATCATAGATTGAGGATACATTATTAATTTTGGCCGTTAGTTAATATAAGTGTTGCATGATCCGATCCGACAATAATCGATATACAAGTATCGATTATTGTCGGATCGGATATAGTGGAGAAGCGCAATCCAGCCTTCCGATATTTTTCTCATGACTCATTCCGGTATCCGATGCCGGACCGGAGCAGTTTAAAGGGCCTTATTCTGTTATCATGTTAATTGTAACTTTTTGTGTCTGCTTCATTGACATTAAAAGCCAAGAAGGTGCTACAACTGAGATACCAGCAACAACTCGAAAATTTAATGATTCGTTGAAGATAGAACTAACGTCCTCCAAATTCGATTCGCGTGAAAAAAAATTATTTTACAATATAAATGTATTTATATATAATCTTATAAAAAGCTGTCGCTTGACTGGGATAAAATCTAAAAACCACAAGGTTGTATTTAAAATAAGGGAAAATATTACTTAACAAACATTACACATAATCCGAGGCCAAGGTTTACGAGGTATAAGGAATTATTAACTTACGTCTTCCCTTTCCGAGGTTTTTATGTAAATTTTTCCTTGAGCTTTCATTATTCTTGTGTCACGTTTCCCTGTACAATTGATATTAAATAAAATTGATAGTATTCGTGACAGAAATCGAGGGAAATTTTTTATGACAAAATTACAAGTAAAACTTAACAAAACCAAACTTCGATAAACTGTTTACAAAGTGTGATTAGTCATAATATTAATGTCATAAAAGGCTAGTGGTATTGTTATATGGCATGTCAAGGATACATTTGACAATCCAAAAGCCTTTTGTAACTTTACAAAAAATACATATAATGAATATTTAAGATGTAACGTACATACAGTAAAAAAGCACATTAAACCCACATTAGGATTCCTGGTAGTCACTCCCTAACTCCATAATACTACTGCACATGAAGTATAGTTTTAATTTGAGCATAAAAAAGGTTTAGCAGATGTTCCTTAAGTTAATAAATAATAATAATTTTATTTATTTATTTATAAAAGCTTGCCAACGCTTGGCACACTGACACATTGATAAAAGAAAAATAAAATACAATTTTTAATGTGTCAAGCACTTACAGGCAAACATAGCATACAAGAAGTAATAAAATTAATTAAGCAAAACAATAATATAATTTAAATAAACATTAAAAGAAAATTGCTCTCAAAGTGTGAGGTGAGCAACTATGGATGCCCAGATCCAGCTCGTTTAACAGAATGCTCAATCTGGACCTTGGTGAATTTCGGCCAAAACGTGTTCTGCGGAAAGGAGGGATAAATGGAATGATGGGATGTCTGGGATATCTACTGGGTACACGAACTTTAAATTTTGTTAAAAGGTTGGGGCAATCTAGCTGATTGTTAAGTATCTAAATGGCAAACGATACATCAATTAGTTTTCTGCAATTCTCCAGTGACAACAACTTGAAGTGCGCTAGCCTGGTTTCATATGAAGGCAACTTTTTTTTCGAGATGCCACGAGAAAAGCAGGTGCCATAGGAATCTTTTTTGTAAACGCTTCAGTCGTAACATATGCATAATTCGGCCTCTATACGACTGTACTATGTGTAATCTAATATGCTCCGCACGAGACTATTGTATAGCATAATTTTTGTTTTGGTGCCTCGGAATTCTTTAGTGTTTCTCAGGACAAAACCAAGCATCTTAGAGGCTTTCTTTATTGTTATGTCCTGGTGCTCCGTAAACGTTAGTTTATTGTCGAAAAGTACCCAAGGGTAAAAGTACCTAAGGGTCGCTCCACAATCGATGCCGGTGTGAAGTTGATTTCGGACATATTTAACGCCTGGGAAGAATCATATGATGTAGTCGGCGTCTTTTGTGACCTGTCAAAGGCCTTTGACTGTGTTCATCCTGATATACTCGTTGGAAAGCTTCAACACTATGGCGTTGATGGCAAAGCTTCCAGCCTGATGAATTCATATTTAAAGGGAAGGATCCAAAGAGTTCATGTCAATGGAGTCACCTCTCCGGGTTCGCAGGTATCAATGGGCGTCCCCCAAGGATCGATTCTCGGGCCTTTCTTATTTCTGATTTACATAAATGACCTCCCATTCTTTGTCAACGAAGTTCATGAGATGGTATTGTTTGCTGATGACACTTCATTTCTATTTAAAGTGAATAGGAATAACGTATTATTGGACGATGTAAACAATTCTATCTCTCGTATAGTTAACTGGTTTAATGTAAATAACTTATTGCTTAATGAGAATAAAATAAAATGTATTAGATTTACAACTACTAGCGTAAAGCGAGATATTGGTAACCTGAAAATTAAGGACAGTGAACTAAACTTTGTTGACAAAACTGTTTTTCTAGGCATAACAATAGATAGTAAACTCCAATGGGGCCCACACATAGAGACTCTTTCGAATAGGCTGAGCTCTGCAGCATATGCAGTAAAGAAAATCCGACAGTTTACTGATGAGGACACGGCTAAAATTGTGTACCATAGCTACTTTCATAGCGTTATGTCGTACGGCATTTTACTGTGGGGTGCTGCTGCAGAGGTTCAATCCATATTTGTGCTGCAGAAGCGGGCTGTTCGGGGTATTTGTTGTGTTTCTCCGAGGGAGTCGGTACGGAATAAGTTTAAGGAATTAAATATTATGACACTATCTGGTCAATATATTCTTGAAGCCTTGTTGTATGTCCAAAAAAATATAAACGATTTTAAAACAAATGGTGACTTTCACCAGTATAATACGCGAAATAGAACTAATTTGAGTGTACGACCAACCAGGCTCCAAAAGATAAACCACTCCTTATATGGAAATTGTATTCGTTTTTACAACAAGCTCCCAAGCGAAATTAGAGAATTATCACTAAATAAATTCAAAGCCCTCGTTAAACGAAAATTAATCAACAAATCTTTTTATAAATTTGAGGACTACTTAAATGATCCTAATCCTTGGGATTGAATTGCTCCAGTTCAAACAATTTGTATGACAATACTTGGCGATTAAAAAGAGTTGCGGAAAGTTTCTTGCCAGTTCTTCTTACCCGCTCTACGCCCTTGACTTGCGAACTGGTAGTAAATGTAAATTTACGATTAATTTAACTTGACGATTCAAAAGTGTACTTGGTTACCTACTTGAATAAAGATATTTTGAGTTTGAGTTTGAGTTTGACCCCCAAATCTCGACTTACCCTTTCTTCCCAAACCGTTGTGCTACCTATTTGATAGTTATGAATTATGATCTCCCTTTTCCTAGAAAAATGAACGAAATGACAGTTTTGTACGTTAAGCTCCATTCCATTGGAAATACACCATGAAGTCATATCATTTAAATCCGATTGGAGCAACAAGCAATCCTCGAAGTTACAAATTACGCGACAAAACTTAAGATCATCCGCATACATATATTATACTCTTTAGAATGCTTAAAACAAGTTACTATGTCATTTACAAATATATTAAATAGTATTGGCCCCAGATGAGAGCCCTGTGGTACACCGGAAGTTATGTATTGAATAAGGGAACTAAAGCCATTAACGACAACAAAAAATTAGCGGTTACTTAAGTAAGATTCAATCCATTTAAGAAAAGGTGCCGATAGGCCGTAGCTAGATAACTTACTCAAAAGTACTGAGTGAGGAACTCGATCAAAGGCTTTGCATCACTTATAAATTCAGTATAGGTACTCAACTAGGTTGAATTGAAGGTGAAAATATATAAAGATATTTTGATTGGTGTACAGACGGGGATCAAAGGATCTCAGGGTTCGTCGTCGTTGGTATATAGAGTTGAGGGGTAGAGATGTTTTATAAAAAAAATTGTAAGTTTAAATTTGACTTAGCGCTTTTGTCAAAGTATATAATAAACGTAAGACTTAGCTAAAGAGATGCCAGTTAGTAGTACCTAAGTTAAAGCCTCTAAGTCGGCTTAAATTCATATAGAAACTTTGTGGTCTGAAGTTAACCTACGGGGTCGAGTGCACAAGACCAGTTTCAAAGTTTCACTGTACCAGTTTTCAACATTACTTTATGTTAATAAAAAAGATCTTTTCAGCTAACGAATTTTTAAACCATGCTAACCCGAATATACCGGTACCCATCTTATTCTTAGACAACCAAAACTAATTAATGATGACGCCGAGTAAAGCTTGGCGGCTGTTGATACACAATTTTAACAATATCACTAAGGGGGGGGGGGGGGGGGGGCCAGGGGGGGGGGGAGGGGGGGGGGAAAAAGGGGGGGGGAAAAAACGGGGGGGGGGGGGGGGTCAAAAAAAAAAGGGGGGGGGGGGGGGGGGAGGGGGGGGGGGGGGGGGGGTTTGGCAAAATTATTGGGGGGGGGGGGGCCCCCGGTTTAAAAAAAAAAAAAAGGGGGGGGGGGTTTGTGGTGGGGGGTAAAAAAAAAAAAAAAAAAAAAATTGCAAAAAAAATTTTGGGCACTAAGGGGTTAAATATAGATAGTAGCCAATTATCAGACTTACTCAATATGCAATAAAAATTCATAAGAATCGGTCGAGCCGTTTCGGAGGAGTATGGGAACGAACATTGTGGCACGAGAATTTTATTTATTATATATATATATTAGGAACAAGTTCGATTTTTAAATAAATGTATTTCTCAGTTTACTGGTTGACTATTAAGGTATATATATAGCTTTTTCTCCGTATTTTTGAACAGACTAATTTATGCACTCAAGATATTGGTAAAATTATTTTAAATGAATATCATCTGTTAATTAAAAGAACATAAATATAACTCTCATATATTTTATGGCATAGTATCATTTAATGTTATGTTAGCATTAGTAACGTTAGTGGTTTGTTGTTCATCTCCCCGGTTGTCATATTGGACTAACACCAACACGTAAGTTATAACGGAACTTGCAACCTGAAAAATAATGTCATCATTTTTTTTTATATTATGGCAAATAACAAAGATATCAAAAGGAAATAAAGGGATAAGCTGGTTAAAAACAAAATATGTACACAAACATATTACATCTTAATATTATTATTGATTATGAAAGAAGATAATACATTATAATACAATAAAGGATAAAGCAAAAGGCAGGAGATATTAGTCGGAAACGGAACATGAAGTAATTGTGAGGAATTCAGAAAGAAATATGGTCATATTGGGAACAAGAAAAGAAAATATGGTCGAGGTTGATGATTTTTAAAATACTGTTTACGTGTCAAAAGGAAGAGACTGGCTGCCCACAACACAGGGAATCCTAGTGTGGGGGCCAGTGCACTTTACTTTATCTAAATATCTTGTATATTGTGCATAATAAAGTTTTTCTTTCTTTCTTTCTTTTCTTTCTTTCTTAGGTCACCAATACTTCTTCTTCTCCACACTCGCAAATATTACTATCAACAATACGAAGAAATATTATCAATTTTCATGCCGACAATATTAATGGCATCATTAGAGATTAATGAAGAAAACACTATTTCAGAAAAATTTATTGAGTTTCTGATAAGTAATGCTACGCCACCATGGCCATCAAATCTATCATTTCGCAAGGAAGTATATCCAAGGATCCTAAATAGGTACCCTTGACTTCTGTCACGTCTCAGATA